TGGATCACCCCGCCGAAGGCCTCTATATGATGGAAAAAACCCGTGGAGCTCTCCATTTATAGCCACCGAGAAAAAAGTCGTAGACATACATACCTCAATCCATTTAATCATGAAATTAGGCACTCCAATAGATTTCAATCCCAAGATGATAAATTCCCAGCTAACCGTGTCGAAAGCTTTCCGGATGTCTACCTTCAAAGCACATCTAGCCATAGAGCTAGGTAGATGATAGTTATGCATGAGCTCTTGGGTCGGTAAAATAGCATCCGATATCCGTCTACCGAGAATAAAAGCGATTCGAGCTGGACCAATCACATCGGTAGAATCATCTTCGACTGCTTCACAATGACTTTAGAGATGCATTTATACATGACATTACGAGCATGCAATCGACCTAAAGTCTTTCATAGAGGTAGGGTTCTCAATCTTAGGAATCGGAGAAATCCTAGTAGCATTAATACAACGAGGAAGAGTAGAGGAACCGAAGAAGTACCTTACGGCGACAATGAAGTCTCCGCCAATAATATCCCAACTTTTCTTGAAAACCGAGAAGTGTAACCATCGGGACCCGGAGCCTTATCATCCGGATGGAGAATAAGGCTCCTCGATCTCATCATCGGTGATATCGGACTCTAAAGTGGAAACCATATCGGGAGAAATGCTTGCTAGAAAAGTACCTAGAGGCATCCTCGGAGGGGAGGCCGAATGAGAGGAGAGCACATCCCGAAAGTATCGAATCGCTAACCGACCCATACCATGCCGATCACGGACCCGAATCCCCGACTCATCGATCGAAGCCATGAATCTCGTTCCCGACCCGTCTATGAAGAACCGATCTATGGAAGAACTTGGTGTTCCTATCACCCAATCGAAGCCACCGAATCCGAGACCGTTGCTTATAAAAAGCTTCCTCATCCTTACTTAGCCGGGAGTATTCCTTAGCAAGCGCCCTCTCGTACACCAAGTACTCATCTATATGAGGAGAACCATCCAATAAAACCCGAGCCGCAGCCCCAACGAGCCTTTGCCTCCACCACCCTACTAGAGATATGACTAGTGTGGTGACGATGGAAAGACTTAAGTTTAGACTCGAGCAACCCCAATCTCCGAGTAAACCCGAACATCGGGTTACCATTCATCTGAACCCCGCCAAACCTCCTCCACTAAACCCATAAAATCATCCCCGTCGACCCAAAAGTTCAAAAACTTAAATGAAGCTTTTACCTTAGATGGAGCGGAACCGAAATCAACCACCATAGCACTATGATCGATGAATCTCGTGGTAGAAATTCCGAGCAAGTAGTCGGCCATGATGAGAACCACTCGAGTTACCAAAAATCCAAGTCGAGCTTTTCTAGAATAGAGCCACCGCCATGCCGACTATTATGCCAGGAGAATCTCAAACCCGAATAAGGAATTCGATTAACTCGGATGCCCGCACACAATTGCTAAAATCATCCATATGTCCATACCGAGAAGGGTCACCCCCATACTTATCCGAAGAACTCGGAATAGCATTAAAGTCTCCCAAGACAAGCCAAGGCCCGGATTGAAAAGCGGAAGAGTGAAGCCTCAAATAATCCCACAAGTCCCGACGACTATCCGGTGTATTTAAACCATACACAAAAGTTACGACAAAAGAGGACCGATCAACCAAGCTAGAAACCTCACAAGTCATCCACTGCAAGGAAGAATGCAAACAACGAAATGCTATACACCAACGGGTCCCAACCAATCGGAATACGACATTTAACCGCATCCGACACATTAGAAAGAAACCGCCAGGATGAAGGATTTATAGCCGATTCAACTCTCCTCATCCGGCTAGCAGCAACTTTGGTCTCAAGAAGACCTACTAAGCTAATACGATATTTAGCAATCCAATCCTTAACCACTCTCTGTTTTGACGGGCCATTAAGACCCCAAATATTCCAAAGCAACCTAACATAAAAATAGGAGTGGAGGAGAAAACATAGGGGAAAAATTAATAGCCCTTAGGCTTTTTCCCCCTTCTTCTTCTTATGAGATAGGGGGTTACCTTGGCTTTTTGACTCGGTGACAACCGGTGAACTCGATGAAGAGGCCACCGAATTCGAGGAGGCCTCGAGTGGCGATGAAGTACTGCAATCATCGTTGCTAGGCAAAGATGCCACTTTGCTCTCCAAACACCGCTCTATGGCTATCACGACAGAACCGATCCTTCTCCACCTCGTGAGATGTCATTAGTTGAGTCCGAGCCCGAGTCCGACCCACAATTTTCTTTCATCCTATCATCTCTAACAAGAGAGCCTGCAGCAGCAGACTCATCTCGCTTCGGAATAGGTCGAAGAGCTAGCCGAGTAACTCGAGCTACCGCAACGGCCCCAAGAGTAGGCACAAGCAGAGGAACCTCGACAGACTAACTAAGTAGCAGGGGCTGCTAAACCCTAAGTAGGCACGGCGGGAGGAACCTCTAACAACGCAACGTAAACCCCAACCCCTAAACCCTAAACCCCAAACT